CTCATCAAAAGGAAATGATCATTCATTCTGGAAAAGTAAAAAAGGAAAAAATGATGTCTTTTAAATCCGATTACTTCTAAGATTTGCATACTGTTACAACTGTTATACCTCAGAGCAGGAAAGATAATTCAGGACAGAAAATGCAGACAGTATCTTTTCCTTTCCCTATCAATCCTCATGTTATGTCTGTAAGTAAATGTTGAAATAACTGAGTCAAAGTTTATTATTTCATAAAACAGGAGTATGGCAAGTGGCTAAAAGCATAAATGCTGCAGTCAGACCACATGAGTCCAATTTCATTTGCTTTTTATTTGCTATGGGACCTTACACAAGTTACTTAACTTCTGTGTGCCTCAGTTTTTTCATAGGGAGAAAACTACCTCATAGGTTGAAGTGGGGATTAAATGAATTAACCTAAGTACCTAGAAGAGTACCTAGCACAGATAAGAATTATTTAAGTATTATTTGATGCCTAAAAAGGGCATCACAAAGGATATATTGATGGACAAGAAAAACAAGCACATGTAACAATATAAATATGTACAAACAAAATGGTACCTAAAATAAGAGCTAAAATTACTAACTTGTAACTGTTACAAGAAATAGTTGACATGTGACTTTTCTGTCTTTTTTCTCCAACCTACCCTGCACCCTTCAAGCATCTAAGCAGAACGTCTTCCAGGGTTCTGGGTCAGCTTCCAGGCTCTTTCCTCATATTGAGACTCTAAATTATGGGTAATGAACAGGGTTAAGTTATTCTATATAACAGAGTTAAATTGGACAAGGGGATTGGATGAAGATAGAACAAAAGTAGTTTGGGCTGACTGTGGGGTGGGGGGAGATGAGGTTAGAAGGAGCTTCATAGCCACTGTCCGCTCAAAGGAAAGGCTGCAGGATTTCCCAAGAACTGTTTTGGGTTACAGCCTTGTTCTCCCTTAAGGTTCTTTAAGCAATCACAGTGCAAATAAGAACTACTTTACTTCTGATTGCTGGACTGTATTACTTTGAATGTGGTTCCACAGTGAATCGGAGATATAGGGGCCAACTCCACTATAATTTTATCTGAGTTACATCCACATAAATAGAATATTAAATATATACACCTGATGTTAAGTGGGAATTTAACATATACAAAAGTATTTACCTATTCATCTATGCCTACATATCAAACTTATTCACAAACATAACAAATACTTGAGTCCAACAAACTGAAAAAGCCTTTTGCTAAAATGATGAAATATGTAGACAACACACATTTACAGAATTTTGGCAAATTTCTTAACAATCATTTAAATTTCTGGGCCTATTTTATTGCTAATGTTGTTGCTGTCATTGTTGTTTTTAGGTCAAAGAGACCTAAACTCAAATCTCAGCTCTTCTATCTACTGAATTTAGAGAAGAGTCTTAATCTCCTTAAGTCTCAGATTCCTCATCAATAAATTGGAGGTGATTCCTACTTTAACGAGTCAAGGTGATTGAGACACTGGACACATAGTGGCTGGCATAATATTAATTCATATCAAGACAACAAATGCTAAAACCTGAAGTTAGGTAACTACAGACATCAGCTTGATTTTAGATGAGGGTGGAATATATTAATACCCTATAATCTGGTTAAGTTTTATTTTTTTTTCCCTAAAAATTGTTTTCTACTTCAAGAATGGAATCTTTACTTTCTCCCAGTACTCTGGGAATTATTGAGGGCTATTTTGACAACAAATCAGGCTCCTGTTTGCTAGAAAACATCAGTGTTACCACAGATGAGTTCATTTTTACATTCCACAAAGAACCCTGCTCTCAAGGCCAAACAGATGGAATGATAAAAAATATTCTTTGCAAGATCAGCTGAGGCTTTCTCTGCCTAGGGCAAACTACTCTCCAAGAGCTGAGGAAAAAACAGTAATTACCTGCTTTCCCAGGAGAGAGCCTGGGAGCTGACCCAGAACACTAGCCTTCATAGTTTATCCTTCTAGAAAGGGAGCTCTTGTCAGTGGAAGCCCCTGAGTTAGGGCTGCTACCTAAGGTTGGTTTGGTCACAGGACAGTTATTTACTAAAATAATTGCCTTGATTCAGAGTTCTAGTTTACCTTTACTTACATCAGTAGTTGAGGACTAAAATTTTACCCAAGAATGAAAATAGAAAATTTCCAGGAAGATAGCCAGATACACCAATTTGGAGAAATAGTTAGATAATTTTATGTTGTGGTTGTGGTTATCTAAGCCAAAGTGCATAGTGAATAACACAAATCTAAAGTATGCACATCAAGCTTGGTATTAAATCTCAAAAAAATTTACCAAACCAGGTTCAACCAGTTTCTCTAGAGATGGCAGGCACAGGGCTGGCCTGGCCAACAACGGCTAAGCATGTGCATTGAGAGTCAGATCCCACATGGCTGACCATCGGTCAACTTTGCCCTGGCAGCTTAAAAAATATGCTGGGCATGTGCGCTGCACGCCCAAAATCTCAAAAGGATGAAGAAATGCAGAAGGGATTACAGAAATTATAGCATGACTACTCTCAGCAAGCATACAAACCCTCTGGCAATTTAAAAAAAGAGATGGCAGGCATGATGAAAAAGATATGAGGAAAGGCCAACATGGCCAAAATACGATAAAGGGTTTGGGACTGGGGAACAGGCAGTGGTTGTATCATAAAGGCTGGCAGGCCAGGGTGAGAAGGGTGAATTCTAGAAGCAGGAAAAAGTTTTCAAGGGATCATATAGGGGAAGAGCATGACAATATCTTATTTACTCTTTTAGAAAAATCAGATTTTCCGGAAGCAAGAGACCAGGTAACATCCATGTCAGAAATATAGGCAGGAAATTGAAGTAGTTTGGACTAAGGTGGGAGCATCAGAAATGAATAGACAGAAATCTATTATTTATTCTGGAGGCAGAACCAATGTAACTTTATGAAAGGTGAGATAGAAGAGTTGGGAAGAAGTGATGGGTACTGGGGTTCAAGGACAATTCCCTGATTTCTGGCTTGAAAATTAATGAAAGAATAGTGGTGGCATTAAGGAAGACTGGCAGAGGAGAAGGTTTTGAAGGAGAAATCAACAATATATTTTTGAAAATGTTGTTTGAGATGCCCATGAGACACCCATCTATGGTTCTATATTTGGTTTAAAAAAACTCTTAACAGGGAACCAGCAGTTAGCGTAATGGCTATGTCGATGGACTCCCACGTAGTCGACCGCGGTTTGCGTCCCGGACCTGGTGGGCTTAAAACTCACGCCGGGCGTGTGTGCGTGCGTGCCCAAGATCCCGAGAGGAGAATGGAGGAGAAGGGATTGTGGCGTGACCATCCCCTCTGGGGGGTGATTTCTCACTTTCCGTCTCTATGTCTCTCTGTCTATCTGGCGAACGCACGCGCCCTATAGCAAAAACCTCTCCAAAAAAAAGAAAACTTTTAACTGAGGGACCAGCAGTTAGCGTAATGGCTATGTCACTGGACTCCCATGTAGTTGACCGTGGTTCGAGTCCTGGACCCGGTGGCTTCAACTCACGTCGAGTGCGTGTGTGCTCATCCCCCCTGGGGGGTCATTTCTTGCTTTCTGTCCCTCTGTCTGTGTGTCTAGCAAGTGCACACGCCCTATAGCAAAAACCTCTCCAAAATAAACCTAAACTTTTAACAGGCAAAAGATAACATTTAACCCTTCTATATTTTCAGGTTGTTCCCAGCCACTGTTCATATCTATTAAGATATGTATAGCATGGTGGTTAAGGCACTGGACACTCCCACATAGTCGACTATGGTTCGAGTCATGAACCTGGTGGCTTGATTTCTAACTTCTCACGTTCGCTTTC